GACGTCATTATACTTAGCCAAGTTGATTACTTAATCAATTTCATAAAAGCAATGCCTGTATGTAAATTGCAAGACAACTAACTGAAATACCTCAATATAAAATATAAAGTGAGTATCTAAGTCATGGCATTACATCACGTAATCCAGACAATATCCTGATACATTAATACAACTCTAAATAAAACAAGACGTAACTCAGTCTAAGTGGCATGGACAATCCCCATGCTCACCAAAACAACAACATAACGACAAAGTCTCAACAAGATAATCCAAAATCATAAAATAAAGCTAAAAGCATAAAAGCAGCAAGCATATCCAGCATCCAACATGTCAGCATATAATATAACAGCAATCTAACTCAGCTCCGGCCTCCTGCCGCCTGAGGTTTCAACATTACCTGACCCTGAAATAAGCATTCCCCAAACGTGGGGTGAGATCTCTAAACAAGAAATCTCAGTAAGACAAGGGGTCCTCAAGGATCTTCCACCCCAAGCTCACTTACATGTGCAATATAAGTTCTAAAAGCATTTATATCATTATCAGTTTCAAAACTATGTAGTGCAACAGATATCTATGGCATGTGTGTAATCACTATCTACTGGCCAGAGAAATGTAGGAATACGTCTATTCCCTACATGTAGTACAAGGAACACCGCTTGCACCTCACCCACAGCCTCACCCTCTTGTATGTTCTACATACTCAGGCTTACCGTATAGGTGGAACACCTCCATGCATATCAACAAGGCACTAACATACAATAGCTCAACAGCATTTCCAAAACATCAAAAGCATGTAACACAGCATGCATATACCATCTCCCCATGGGACATGGTGGAACCATAACATGGCTAAACCGAGGACACGAAAGCTTACCTCTAAGCTAGCTATCCAATGCCACAAGCTCAAAGTCCAATCACAGCAGATCACAATCTGATATGGACCAAATATAAATCAATAAACATGTACCACATGCACACAAATTAAAGACAACGCCTTTTCATTACGTTTTCAAGTCTTAAAGCTTCTAACAAAGTCACAAGCCCTCAATCCCATGATTCTGGCTTAGTCCATTAAATACAGAAGTTCAACTTCATCAAACTAGGGTCCACAAACCCCCAATAGCCTACTGTACACACAGCACAGCTACTGTTCTGGGAAATCCCAGAATATCCGGATATTCCTCGGGACCATATCCGGATATGCAATATCCGGATATCTCACTGTCCATATCCGGATATGCAATATCCGGATATACAGATTCACATATCCGGATATCCAATATCCGGATATCTGTTCGACAAATATCCGGATATTTCACGACAGAATGCAGTTTCTGCATTTTCATGAAGATATCCCTTAAAGGTTCCCTTTTTACCGATTTTAAACACCTAATCATGCATTTCTAGGCGTGTTCAACATTACCCAACAACAAGTTATCATCTTTTAGTCATTAGATGCATCAAGGTACCATTCTTAAGCCTTAAAACTCAAGTTAAAGGTTGGTACAACATACCAAGGCTCAAAACTCAGAATGGAGATGCTCTTGGAGCTCAACACAGCCCCTCGAGTCTGACTCAAGGAAGATGCACGAAAATGAACAAGAAGGTAGGTCTTTCACTCAACAAGAAGGCATCTTGAAGCATCAAAATGCCAACAAAAGGTCACACCCCTCAAGAGCAGAAAACACAGCTCCCTCACACCTCTCACAGCAGCTGGACACTCACCAAAAGGCTCTCCTTTCACTCAACAAAGATGCTCTCAAGTGTTTACAAAAAGAAAAGAGAAGGATCAATGCTCAAAGGTCCCAACTTGGCTCAAGAGAAGGTGAAGGAGACCAATGGAACAGTGCTCAAGCAGCTGGTCAGCCTCTTCTCACGCAGGAATTCTGGTATCTAGGGCAATGTGCCCTTAGTAAGTGTATATATAGGCCACATAAGCATTAACACACAGTATTAACTTTAATTGCTACGCTTAGCATTTTAATCCCAAACTTTGTATTATGAAACTACATAATTTTCTAAGAATTAACATATTTTTATTATATTTTTCTGAGCACCTTTCCGGTACGCGCTTTTCATAGCCAGTACCGGTTTCTAGCACCAGTTCTCATTATTTGGACTTGAAACTCGTTTTACAGGTCTTACATATTATTCTAGTAATTATCATGCACTTACTTTAATTTTCCGGGATACTTTTTTGGTACGCATATATACCGACTAGCAGAATCGGTATATGCACTTTCTTCCGAAAAACGACTCTCAGCATTCTTAATCACTTACCATAATTATTAAAGCCATTTAATAATTATAAGGGTCAATTATGGAATCATTTCCTAATTTTGCATAATTAATTAATTAAATACCTTAATTAACGGTGCAGGTTCTTACAATTCACCTGATACTACTTCTATTCAAAAAATTAGCCTGTATCTCTTAGTTTATATATTATTTTTAGGGTGCCTCGGATGTTCTATTATAGGATATCCTGCAACAGTTTTTAACTATGTACTTTTGGGAGTACATAAAAATATTAAAGTTATTTTTTCTCTCTCCTCCACGTCAGCAACTTTAATATTTTAACTATGTACTCCTGGGAGTATATAGTTAAAAAACGAATGCATGACCAAAAACTCATTCCTACAACATAATACTTATATTTTTCTTTTTTTTATTTCTTGACGTTATTTTATTTTTTTTTATTTTAAATTACACCTACCTCCTATACTTTAAATATGATTCTTACCTTTTTTATAATAAATATAAGTACGTTTAATTAATATCTCAATATATAGGTAGGTATTTTCTTTATTTTCCTTTTTTCTATATATCGGTATCTCAATTCTAGTCAAATAAAAAATCTATATGAATCCACGCAATAGTATTATTCTAATTTTTTTCTTATTAATTTAAGTTCTTTAGGCTTGTCTTAAATACGAAATATATTTATACGAAAGGAACATTATAAATTAACTGTGAATATTAATATGCTAGAATGAAATAAAGCGACGTATGTTCGCAAGAGAAGTTTTAGCCAATAAAAAATAATCAAAGAAAGATAATATTGAAAAACTTTAAAACTTTGATTTTACAAGGTGAAATACAAAATAGATTAAGATAGTAATGTTAAAAAATTGCAATAAGTTTAAGAGTTGCAGAATAAATAAATTGATAAATGTGAATATGAGAAATTTAACAAGTTAAAAATAAATAAATAATCATGCTTACAAATTAAAACATATATTCATAAAAAATGATTATGTTATTTCAAGAATTTCTATAAATTAATTTGGGATTCAATATAATTCTATTGTTGTAATTGGCATGTAAACTTTTACAATAACAATCACAAAATAAATTATTATTGTATTATTTAATTTTATATAACATGTGCTATATATGAGTGAACTTTAAATACTCTTTATTATCAATTTTTATCTTAATGAAAAAAAATCAAAAAATACAAATTAAATAAGGGAACTCTAGTATATATTATGTGAATGTGTATTAATTTGAAGTATTTAATAACTTACAGCGAGACAAAAACATTTTAGTAATTTAAACAGGAGTATATACGAATAAGTGAGAAAGATACATATACGTAACATTTATATTTATTATTAATTAACTTTGAAAAAAAATTATACATAAATTTGTGCTTTTTATTTTTTTTAATATAAAAATATGTAAAAATAAATATACATGATCTTACGTTTAAAATAAGGGAAAAGTGTGTGTCCTTTAAAAGGACACACACTTATATCCTTTTAAGAGAGATAAAGGAACAAGTTATGGGGAGAGAAAGTAGAAGAAAAATTTTGTAATTTAAAATTTAAAAAAATACACTTCATTCATCTAAAATGACAAACATTAAACCCTTAAAATAATGATGTCAAGCTCGTCACATGCATAAGTTCAGATACAGATCCCCATGCTCAACAGAAAATGCTTTCTTATCCACTCTGTGTATAGGTTTCCTCCCAATGTAATTGATTGATCACGTGAAAAGATTTCAGAACAATTAATTGTAGCCATACATATCGCTTTGCTGAATAATGGCATATTTTATAAATGCTGACACCTGCGTTAACTTGATGTAGTTGTGGAGTTGTCTTGTGTAGCATCAACTATGGCAACAAAGCGTGTCCTTCACATGAAGGGCGGTGTGGGAGAAACAAGCTACGCCAACAACTCCTTACTTCAGGTATTATTTCTTTTTCTCTTAACCTAATTATGTACTCTTTATCTTTTGTTCGATTTATGATCCAATGAATTTTTTCGACTTAAGTTTTGTACCGAGACAATATCATGCATTACTATATATAATAAATTTTATAGGGAGAGTTATATGCACTGCATATTTTTTTTTAGCAAAGTTTTATCTAATTAATTTTTCATGAAAGGTTTTTAATGAAGCAAAATAATTAGCATATAATAAAATGTGAACATGGGAAGCATTACGTTATTTTTTATTTGGATATATTTACCAGTTCATTGATTATCAATTAGTCCAGTTCGAGAGTTATTGGATTCACAATTATATTACTTTTGCACCTTATCTTATACCTATAGTCTACATTCTACAGTTAGTTATTGATGAGTTAATTATTAATTAATATTATTTATCATTTTTTCATATTGTGATTTTTGCTTAAAAAACACGTTAGTGAAACAAAAATATTTTTGAGAGACAGAAAAAGTCTAGCACAGTTGATAGATAGCTGAGTTTCTTGAACACTTTTATAGGGGTTCGATTCGTGTATGTGTCTATGGCAAAAAAACTTTGTTGATAGAACTATATCCATTTCGGTAATCTTTCGGCCTCAAAGGAATTAATCTTTGCCTGGGAATACCTTGGATGAATCCAAAAAAAAAAAAGTTGATACAATCCAAAAACATTTTCCTTTTCATTATTGTCCCTATTCAATATTATATGATATTGACCCAAATTAATCTTTTTGCAGAAAAAAGTGATATTGCAAGCAAAACCCGTACTTGAAGAGAGTGTCAAACGGATGATGATGTCCTACACAACTTATGAAAGCTGTTGGAAAATAGCAGAATTAGGTTGCTCTTCAGGACCAAATGCACTTATGGTCGTGTCTGATATCGTCAACATCATTGGTAACACTAGCTTGCGCTTAAACCGTGGCTCACCCGAAATCCAAATTTACCTCAATGATTTATTTGGAAACGATTTCAATACCATCTTCAAGTTACTCCCTGCTTTCTATCAAAGTATATTACAAGAAAAAGGAGACAAAGTTGGAGCATGCTTTATTCATGCAACACCGGGGAACTTTTATGGGAGACTCTTCCCCAATAATTACGTTCAAATCTTTCATTCCTCCTACAGTCTTCATTGGCTATCACAGGTCAGCTACACCAAACCCAATCTCAAATTCGAAAAGATACTATGGGCTCACTAACCACTCGGTATATCCTTTACCAAATATGAAATTAAAAATTAAGAATTGGGTAGAATAAACTCATCAATTGGATGAGTCATGTGTTATTTTTATTTTTTTTTAAATTTAGTGGATATAGCATCAGATCTTCAATATTACTAAGTACTGAAATTTACTCCAAATCTTGATATTTGTATTGTTATAGAACAATCGAGCATCAACTGTTACTTCTAGTAGTTAGATGATACATTTTGACTATTACCAAAAAAAAAAAAAGGTGATTCATTTTGAGATTATAGTTATTTTATTTAAAATTTAAAATTTACATTTACATATATAAATTACTCAGGCATTTAAACGCACCAATGTTTCCTAGCATTCCATATTATGTATGGCCGTAGAAACACAAAGTTCATTATTTTAATTCAATTTTTCTCTTTAATCATGCTTTTATGGCATCAGGCACCAAAAGTTTCAACCAAGATAGCAAAACCACTCAACAAGGGAGATATTCACATAACAAGTACAAGTCCTCCATCAGTCTATCAAGCATACTTGCAGCAATTTGAAAGAGATTTTAAACTTTTTTTAAAATCACGCTCTGAAGAACTAACTCCGGGTGGTATTATGGTGCTGACATTAATCGGCAGAGAAAAACCTCATGAAATTAAAACTCCTTGTGTGGCAATTAGCATGGTACTCAATGACATGGTCCGAGAGGTAAGCAATGAGCTATGGAACGGGCAATTTAGGGGGACAGTGACCATTTTGCCACGCCTTGCCAAAATATTTACCAGATTGCCACGCCAACAGTAAATTTTCCTAAAATACCACGCGGCATAATTCGCTACACTGTGCAGCGAAATATGTTTGCAAATAATTCGCTACACAGTGTAGCAAATTATGCAATGTCAGTCTGCACAGTCAGCAAAAATGACACATGTCAAGTAGGCAGTAATTCGCTACACTGTGTAGCGAATTATGCTTGGATTACTGGCTGTTTGACACGTGTCATTACTGCTGACTGTGCAGCCTGACATGGCATAATTCGCTACACTGTGTAGCGAATTATTTGCAAACATATTTCGCTGCACAGTGTAGCGAATTATGCCGCGTGGCATTCTGGAAAAATTTACTGTTGACGTGGCAGTCTGGTAAATATTTTGGCCAGACGTGACAAAATAGTCACTGTTCCCAATTTAGGAGATTATTGGTACCTAAACTAAAAAAAAAATTCAACTCTTTTTCAATTTTAAATTATTTTATAGTGGCAATCTTATAATTGTGAAAGTTTATTAATGGCATTATCGTAAATAAATACAATTTTTTTATAACTTTAAATCAATCATATTCAAACAAGTTTTATTGTTCTCCTACTCTCAAAATCAGTTTTTAAAATTTAAGTTGAAAACAGTATTTAAAGAAAAAAAAACAAAATCATATTCAAATAGACCCAAAGTTATTTTGATTTGCCTTGTGAATTAAGATTCCTTATAACTTGTAGGGTTTGATTGAAGAGACAAAATTGGACTTCTTTGACCTTCCTGTATATTTTCCTACAGCAGAGGAAGTTAGACAAGTGATTGATGTGGAAGGATCTTTTAAACTTGAAATATTGAACATTATCAAGATGGGTTGGGATGCAGATCTTCAAGAAGATTTTGATGATTCTTTTCTTGATAGTGCAACAAGAGGAGAGTTCATAGCTAAGTCCATAAGAGCTGTTTTTGAACCCCTTTTATCGGCTGAGTTTGGAGAAGATATCATGGATGAATTGTTCTCAAGGTTCGCAAAGCTTGTTGCAGAATTTACTGAGTTAGAGACATTGAAGTATACTAATTTGATAGTGTCAATGACAAAAAATCCTTAGAGAGTGACATGTTGGGTGTACTGTCCTCTTGGTTAGCCAAGAAAAATATAATAATTGTTTGGAAGGAAAGACAGTTTGTGAAATTCAGATTCACATGTCTATTATTGTATTTCATTAATGTTATTGTGAATTATTTGGATATTTAACTGGATTAAAAAACTATTATATGAGAAATATTTACTTTTCTGGACGATGTTTGAGTGAGAAAAATATTAAAATAAAATTATGAAACAAATTGTTCAGATGAAACTTGAGAAAAGGTTAAAAAAATTGACGATAAATTTTTGGAAATGCAGACTTTTGTCCGTATCAATAAACTTATATAACAGGTAATAGCAAAACCTGTATAAAAATTAGAATTTGTATCGAAAGAATTATAAAATTAAAAGTTACATGGAATTTTTAAAATTATCAACCAAATTTTAGGTGCTAAGACTTTAAGAAGTTGTTTACCAAAAATAAAAATAAAAATTGTTATTTAAATTCAATTTTGTCATAACCAGCAGCCCGTTTGTCTGAATTTGTTGACCCAACCCAAATTAAAAGTTAAAACCCATAAATGGATCACCAAGGATAAATATCAATGGCTGATGAGTTTCTCCGAGAATACTTATCACCTGCCGTAGGAAAAAAAATGTGGGGCCCAAAAATTAAAAAAAAATGGTTTTATTAATCTCATGTTAAAGGAGATACGTTATTTCATGTCATAGAGATAAATTTGTGGGCTCCATCACCTGAAAAAAAAGTGACAGTTATCGAAGAGTGTGTAGGAGAGAAAGTTACCACATATAGCATAAGAGCGGTTTTTCCCAAAAAGAAAATGGGGGGGGGCGGAATTTCTGATGTGAGAGCAGGAAGGAAATAGTTTCTACTGCCGCCATTTTCCATAAATTATTGGGTTATATTTATTCTATTCAATATGAGATAAACCAAATTTTTACACACACATAATAAATATGGATCTTACCTCTATTTTTTTTTTCACTAATTATTTGTGGGTCCCTCTTATAATATTGTTTCACTAACATAAGATAATTATCTTCAACAACATAAGAAAAACATTTCCCTAAATTAATTAGTAGGGTTTGTTTTAAGGATTTTATGTCATACATATTTTTTGATTTCCATGTTTTCATTGGTCCCACATATGATTATTTTTAACATATAGGTCTCATATTACTTTTGTTTCTATAGCATAAGAAGACTCGTCTCATAAGAAGTATAAAATAAAACCCTTGTTTTAAAGTGTTCTTAAGTTCCATTTTTAAATGCTTAGTTATGTTAAAAATTTATTAGGGAACCCAGTTCAAATCCAAATTAATTTATCGATGCCCGTCGGGATCGGATGATTATATCCCAACAAAAAAGAAAAAAAGATTTTGTCCTTTTAAATTATACAAGTTGTGTCATTTTATTCTCACAAAGATATGAGACTTACATTTTTATTTTTTATTCTCTCACATGATCTATTTCTTTCTCTTACTTAAAATGATACAACTTATTTATCAAAAAAATAAATAAACAAATAAATAAAATGATATAATTTTACGTCCTTTAAAATAACACATATTTCTCTAAAAAAAAAAGGCCTTAAATGATGGTAATAAGAATTTTGACTAGTCAATACTTTGTGATTGGAGTCGATATTATAAAACATAATATAAACATTTTTTATTTAGAAATTTGAATGTAATGTAACTTTGGTAAAGTTAAGTATAACATTTTTCGAATTATAAAATTAACTAACTAAATCAGTGTCAAATTTTTAATAATTTTTTTAAGTTAATGAACTACAAATATAAACAGTACAAGACACAAGAATAAAATTAAATTTAAAAACTTAATTATATACCGGCGGACTAGAAATTTGTGTTAAGCAAAATATTTGCATCTATTAAAAAGAAAGAAAGAAAAGTAAACTATGTATCAATTTAACGTTTCTACATAAAAATCCGGTTAAACATTTATATTTATGAAAAAAAAATCAATTCCATAATAAATAGACTCAGAAGAACATAGAAACATAAGTAATTATAAATTGAGATATATATCCACCTCTTATATATCCCATTAGCACATTAGAAGATAAAAGTAACTCATAATCAAAGTTAACAAATAATTAGTACAATTATATCCTTATAAACGTTTTTTTTTTTTTTTTTTTGATAACAACCTTATAAACGTTTTTCCCTATTCAGATATGGGATAATAACATTCAATTCTAAGGATTATTTTCTGATAAAAACAATCCCATAATCACCAAGTAGAAAAAGTGCAATTAAATTAACAGAAGATTAAATTCTTGGGTATCCCGTTTCATCACAGAAGAATTGGGAAAAGGTCTTTTAGCTATGTGTTGGATAGAATTAACAGAAGATTAAATTCTTGGAAGCAATCAAATTTATCTCTTGCTGGTAGGGTGACTTTGGCAAAATCAGTGCTTTCTACAATCCCTTTATATCCGATGCAAACTTCCATAATCCCTAAAACTACTAGTGATGACATGGAGCGTAAAACTAGGAGTTTCATATGGGGAGATACAGTAGATTGTAAGAAGACTCATTTAGTCTCCTGGGATACCTTATGTAGGAAGAAGCAGGACGGTGGTCTAGGAATTAGACAATTGAAAGGGATGAACCAAGCTATGATTATGAAAGTGGCTCATGGGTTGATTACTGATACTGAAGCTTTGTGGTGTAAAGTTCTCAAAAATAAATACAAAGTGGGCACCCAGTTGTTCCCAGATGTAAGAGTCTCTAGAACTGGATCGAATCTGTGGAAAGGAGTAGCTCGAGTTTGGCAGCCTGTGGTGGATAATTCTCGAGTTCTTCTTGGTAATGGACAGAACACGTCTTTTTGGAATGATCGTTGGGTTCCTAATTGTACTCCTCTTTCCCAGCTTACGGTGCATCCAATTCCTGAAGATTGTCTTTCATGGACGGTAGCTGGATGTGTAACTAGTCAAGGGAGTTGGAACTGGAATTTATTTCAGCACCTGCTGCCTAGCTCAGTTTTGCAAAAAGTTCAAAACCTTGTGCCTCCTTTCTTACAAGGTGGTCCATATAGAGTGATTTGGACAGGGACTAGCGACGGTAAGTTTTCAGTGAAGACAGCTTACTCTCTCATTGCACAAACGGAAGTGGTAGATAATGTATTTCCTTGGGACAAAATTTGGAAATGGCCTGGTCCTGAGAAGATCCGTTGCTTTCTTTGGCTTTTTGTTGGGGATAAGCTCTTGACTAATGTGAAGCGTGTTCAAAGGCATATGGCTGATTCAAACATGTGTTCCAGATGCTTAGTTTCAGAGGAGAATTCCATACATGCTATTCGTGATTGTCATATTTCTAGAGATGTTTAGAAACTTCTTGTTTTGCAGGTAAAGCAAAGGAATTTTTTCTCCCAGCGTTTCAATGATTGGTTGCAGTCAAACCTCGTGGTTGGTGATATGGGAGATAATCGGGAGTGGCCTTTGATTTTTGGTATTGCTTGTTGGTTCATTTGGAATACCAGAAACAAAATGATTTTTGAAGGATCTCAGGCTAATGCTTATAGCATTGTTCGACAGATTTGGTGTTACCATGATTATGTGTTGCAGTCTAGAGTTCTTTTTGTATCATCTGGTCTTCATCGTAGGAATAAAGAGGAGCGATATATTCGCTGGACCTTTCCTCCAGATGGTTGGATAAAGATCAATGTAGATGGGTCTTGTACAATGGGAGGAATGCGTACTGGGTGTGGAGGTGTTCTTAGGGATGATACTGGGAGTTGGATTGTTGGTTTCTCAAAATACCTTGGTTGGGGTAATTCTCTTACAGCAGAACTTTGGGGTTGCCTTCTAGGACTTCAGATAGCTTGGAGAAGAAATTATCGTAGAGTGTGGTTGGAAGGAGACTCGGTGGTCGCTATTGATTTTATCAACAAAGACTGTAATCAGGAACACCCTCTGGCTACTTTGGTTCATCAGATTCGTCATTAGGGCGTTGAATAATTAGGGTTGTTTGTGTTGAAACAAAGGTAAATAAAACCAGATCGAATCGTTTAACACTACGTTTGTTAGATCACATTTGCAATGAGAGAGGGAGAGTCTATTTAATGGAATCAAAAAGCCCTTTCCCATCTCTGTTGGTTTAGGTTTCAGCGAGGCCTAGATTCTGCACAAAGATGGGATCAATCATCAGTCATCGACAAGCAACACCGCCGTAAAAAGGCAACAAAATCAAAAATCCAAATATACAGAAACCACCCTAAGATGGGAAAAGGACAAAGTTATCAATTTCATTCTGAGACGGAACGTGCTACATGAACCCTAACATGCTCTGGCAAATTCTATCACTTTAATTTATATACTCCAATTAACTTGTTCTTTTCCAATTCAGCCCTTCTCAGAATACAAGTGCATGGACAAAGGATGAAGAATATTTTCGTAATCGTAAAATGTAGACTTGCGCGTCTTCTTCATCGCACACAAGCGAGGAGAGAGAAAGGGTGGAGTTAGAGAGAGAGAGAAAGAGCAGAGTTAGAGAGAGAAAAAAAAGAGTAAAAGGGTTTTATTTATCTTTTGAATCTGAACCGTTAGATGAGATTGTAATCCAACGATGTTGAGAGAAGTAGGTAAAGGTAGGCAAAATGGGAGTAGGCACAATAACCTATCCCTTTATTTTAAAGATAATTTTTAACTTATAGTTGCACTGTAAGTTTTCAGGTTCAATTGTTTTCATTCACTACCTTTCAAAGTTTCAATAGAAATTTTACTAGAAAAAACCTATTTAGTGACAGAATTTGAATAAAATTTTCCTCACAAAATTCGTGGTTAATTCGATTTACGTAGCAAATTCCATCGCAAACCTCGTTTGCGAGGAAATCTGTGACGAAAAATAATTGCAAGGATGAAATTTGCGACAAAAATTCCATAGCAATTTCGTCGCTAAACAAGTTTTTTTCTAGTATATGCACGCTACACAACACAGTAACAATATAGCGTGCAATAGAACATTCAAGATCTAGCGTTACTTAAACAACCAGCAAATGCTTCTATTCATCTATATGATACTACTTAGTGAAATAAATGAGCTTGTAACGTTTAAAAATAGTTTGTAATGAGATAATAAGGACGAGGAAACACAAGAAAAGAAAACACAAACCCACATCAATTGATCACACCAATAAATATTGCTAATTAGCCTGAATTGATCATTTGTTGCATATAGTACACAAAATGAATTCAAAATCAGCTTCAATACAATACCATACACTACAGAAAAATAGGCATTTAGGGTCAGTTATTGTAATGATTCGGGTGGAAATTAAGAGTCGCTACTAATTCTATTTTGATTAGGGAAAAAATAGAAAAATCTTTTTTCTTTTGCAAACTAGTCTTGAAATCGAACGAGGTTCAGAAATTCAATGTGTGCGAGGAAGGGTGGATATTAAACTCCACGACATCTCAACACACCTATCATAAGACGGTTACCTTAGATTGATTGCGTGAATTATATTTTACCAATTTGATCAATAATAAAATATAAATATTAACAATGAAAATAATTTCTAATATTTAGAGATAATTAACTAATATATGTACAAGTTAAAAAAATAGTAACATGTCTATTAAAATTTCACAAATGAAATAATAATTTGAACCAAAAATATTTATAAAATACCCAAAAAAATGAGAATTACAATTTGCTTTGACATAGTAAACCTTACTCATACGTTACCCCTTGCGTAATAGGTAATTCAAAGCCACATAGTTCTTAAAAATATTTGTGAAATGGTTAGCTTTAAAAATTTTGAAAAAGATTTATTTTTTTGACACATATAATTTTTTTTATAACAATAAAAAAAATTAATTATTTTAGAAAACAAGAATTTTTTTTCTTTTTTTATTAGTTTTTAAATTTTTATCCCTTTTCAATAATAAACAGAAACATAAAAATGTATCGATCATCATAAATAATTATATTAAGTAAATATTACCAGATAACATCTAATTTTATTTTTTCACAGTTGATCTCTAATCTCTACTCCAGTTTTATTTTCCTTCATTTCTATTATATATTAAAATTGCAAAGTTTATTTTGATACCAACAATTGTTAAACTACTAAATATTGAAGTATTCCTTCGATTGATTTAATTTTCAAAACATTGGTCAAAATTATGCAATTTTATGTTCTTTCTTTTTGGATATTATCCATCGGTTCATCGATTACTCGATTAATTTGATTAATATAGTTACGTTCCAAGGACTCGAACTCAGAACCATTAATTAAACTAGAAAAACTCTTTATCAATTGATCCTAGTCATGTGATATGTACGTAGCTTTTAAATTTATAGTATTCACTAAAAAGTAAAAACTTACACATATGTTTACACAAACGTACGTGTCTCATTTTCTTCTTACTCTTACCTCTTCCACTAATTTCTCCCATATGTGAAGTTTCTTAAGAATTTCGTTATAGATGATTACTGAATTCTTTTTTATTTGTCTTTTACTTCTTAATGTAGTACTAGCTAGTATGGGTGAGGTGAAGTGTAAAAAATGCTATCACTTGTTTCCTGTTGTTGAAATAACACATTCATTCCAGGAAATTTTGATATTTGCAAACAATTTGAAGTTTGAACTGCTATCAAATGTTATTAAAAAAAAAATGTTACTTGACTACATAGGCTTAAACATTCAAGAATACAAATGTTGGACGGATTAAATGTTCATATAAGAGAAGACGATGACCCCATAAGAATGAGGCATTAGGTCCTAGAATCTAAAGCCATAATTGTACTAAGGTTCATTGGGTGCATGTATTCGGTGGATGCAATCATGAATTTGTCTACAATCAATCTATTTGCTCTCTCAGATGGATGGAAGCCGTCCCAAAATGCATATAGATCCCTGTTTGGACACAAGTTAGAAGCTGGGGTGCAGAGTCCAAATCCATTGAATGCTCCTTGACCACAGCATGCTACTTTTGATGTAACAAACCCTGCATATAGAATAAAAGGGTAATAAATGCTTTCAATTCAGAACATAGCTTATCAATCACATGCTTCACCCTGCACCTCTCCTTATTAACAACACGTAAAAAAATCATTTCAAACTAAAAATTTAAGTTAGTAAGTGATAACCCTATTTATAACTTTATATTAATATTTTTTAACAAGTTATTAATTGAAAATAGCCTCAATACGATATTGCAAGTGTCAAAAACTGATTTTCTTATAAGTGAAGACTTATTATTCTTTTATATATATATATATATATGTGTGTGCGTGTGTAAATTAATTGATAATGGGCCAGTTCAATTTTTTCTTTGATATTTCAACTACACAAATGGTCCCCGTAGTCAATGCCCCACACCATTAAACATTTGGATAGGGATGGTAAATGCAACCAGTCACTCTTAAATGTTTTTTTCTTTCTGTGCTTTTCCCCCTTTTTTCTTACTTAATATATGTTCACGTAGATTAGAAAATGAAATATGTTCAAACCAAGTAATGAACCATTGTATTTTAAAAAAGGGAAAAGTGTTTGTCATTTTAAATGACAGAAAGTTATGTCATTTTAAGAGAGATACAGACACAGAAAATTTGAATTTTAAATTAAAAAAATCACTCACTTTCTCTCTCCCATGATTTCTGTTTTTCTGTGTCTATCTCTCTCCTAAAATGACATATCTTATGTCATTTAAAATGACAAACACCAAACCCTTAAAAAAAATTAAAGATATATCGATATACTAACTAAGAATAGTTAATTAATGGTGCAAATTATATAAGAGCACAAAAAATAAATGTTAACATACCATATGCTTGTGGATCACCAATGAAATCCAAGTGCATTTCGAAGGCATTAGCATAAATGAAGACATCAGAACCAATTTCAGTATTGAGCTGGTTCACTAGTTGAACAAGTTGAGGATTGAACAAGTTAACAGCACTTTGAAGTTCCGTAGCACATTCCCCGTTTCTACTATGCAATGCCAATTCTGCTGGGACACAACCTAATGGTCCCGTGCCTGTGACCATAATCCGTCGTGCTCCTAATTCATAGAGACTCTGCATGCATTTAATTGAATGTTACAACACAGTACAACAAGAACTCTTAGTGCCTTAATTAAAATATAGTAGGTAAAGAGAAAGAGAACGAGAGCATTAATTCTCCAATTTTAATATGGTTGCCAACACATTACTGCTTTTACACTGTATCTTTGGTGATGGAATTCATGTGGATTTTAATGTTGATCAGCGTATTGTTTGCTGCCTTCAACTACCAATTGAATCTCAACATAACGCGTTTGCCTAGCAAAGTCTACATCGATCTCTATCATATGAACAATATATTTCTACCTTTGAGGGAGTTGCTACAAGTATTATTACTCTTGAATGTACGGATTCTCTTGTCACTTGTCAGACATATTAATTGCTTACTCATTAATAATCTCCGTACCATTGCTTGCAAAATCCATATTTTATTTTAGATAAAATACTTTTTTTAACAACTAAACTTACTAGCATTTTGCTCATTTACACTTTTACTCATTCAATAAAAAAAGATAAAAGAATAAAAGAGTTTCATCTTATTCAAGAATGAGAATGAATATTTGTCTTGTGTTTTAATAAAAAGAGACTATTGTTACTTTATTACTAACTTCATGTAATAATCTTATTTATATATATATATATATATATATATATATATATATATATATATTATTGAATAAATTTTAATATCAAACCATATAAAATAATAAAATAAATTTTTTGATTAAAAATTGATTCATAATTTATATCATATTATTCAAAAAAAAATTGATGTGATAAAAAATACAATATTTTAAATTAATAAGAAATTTATTCATTTATAAATGTATTCATTATTTTGTTTATTTTTTGTTCCAGAATTATCTTTTTATTTTATGTGTTATATTTTTCTATTTAATGAATAAATCATACATTAATAATATTACATATTCTAACAAAGATTTTAAAATAAAAAATTGATAACAATGAGTAGAGTTAAAAATAAAGTGTCTACCAAAAAAAAAAGTAAAAATATAAAACAAGTGTTCTCTTTCTTGATTGAATGAGCAAAAGTGAAAGGACTAAAATACCAATAATTTGTTACTTGGAAAAAACTTACAGGAACTTTTCTCCAAAACTAATAAATAAATATTTAAATTTATTATTAATTAATAAATACTTGATAGTTAAGATAGTAGCTACATGAAAATGTCACTAAAGTGCAAAGTAACACTTATATAAAGACAAGAACACAAGCTAGCGAAGTAGAAGGAAAAGAATACCTCAAGAATTTTGCGATACTCAGAAATGAGGAAGACAACGTAGTCTGGAAGAGCAAATTGGCGAGATCTGGCAGAGAAGGGAACCAAGTAATAGTTGTTGACAAAATCATTGCCACCTAAGGTTATGAGTACCAATGCTTGCTTCACTAAATTTTGAGCCTGGTTTTCTCCTATTAGCGCACTTACCCTCCGCTGATACTGTTTAAAGTACTCCAATTGGGTCCTAATTCGAATTATATTTATCTGCAAATAAATATAGGTAGATAACAATTTAATGGTCACATTGCTTTCTCATATTAAACTGATAAATATAAAAAATTTCTTAAGCCAAAACGAACAAAAAGAGGCCCTTAATCTCGCAGCTCCTGAACTATAATCAGTAATAACAATATTTCGCTACTATGAACTTTGGGGTTCACCCCTATTCCTACCATTATTATATCTATCATTGAATTTTATAATTATATAGTACATGTTATCACATATAGAGTTCGCCGTGAATAAAACTTATTAGTAAAGGGTAGCGTGTGAAAAGTGGATTGCAGGTAATTTTATTATTGTATTTTTTTCAAAGGAATTGTTTTCCATATTCAAATCAGTAATCTTCCGGTTACAAAAGAATAAATTTATCTTTAAATCAGAGTTATATTTATAAATTTTTTATTTATAAACTACACTATATACTTCAGGTAATATATATTACGTATGAACTACATTCTTGAATGTACTATACCCGTAGTACATATACAGTATAATTTGTAAGAGTTTGTAAATATAACCTACTACGTATCTTTATACACTTCCAACCCTAAACTGGATTATTTGTCTCTCTCAGAGCTTCTGATATTGGTTAAGGTATTTATAAAAAAAAATAAAAAAAATGTAGACTTACAAACTGAACTCCAGTGTCGTTGAGAATTCCAATTCCAGCAGAAGCAAAGTTGGCACCAACAAGTAGCCTCTCGCCATCAAGCTCTGGACTCAAATATGGCAATGTGGGTTCTGAGCCAATTTTCTCACCTACATGCATGATACATATAGGCATAATATTAAAAACACCCCATAACAAAATTAATACGAAGATTAAAGCTATTGAAACTATGTTACTATAATAATATATATAAATAAGCACCGAACTGATAAGGTCAGGAATGTTGAGGCCATTGGAGAAACGACCAGAGGCTCTATGAGCTGGTGAATCAATGCCATAAGGATATGCGTCTGCACGCGCTGTGGTGGCTAGGTAGTTATTGTTGCCATTGTCCACAAGTGAATCACCAAAAACGAAAAAGGCTCGTGCCTCAGCTTGTGGAGTAGCAATGCTCCATGTGATCAACACACATAAAAATATAAATGTAGAAGAAATGATTCTTCTGTTGTGTTCATCCATGGGAATGTGTCTCCAAGAAATTAAACCCCAACAATTGTGAATGCACTCTTTATCTTTAACTATGATCTTGCATCTGAACGTCAAAGTTAAGTGACTTATATAGTGCTCAATAGTTGTGAAAATTAAATAAATGTTACTACCACTAAAGAAAGTGTTTTTCACAGTTTATAAATCATACATTTTCATATTATTTGAAAAAAAAAAAAAAATAGGGTGCTAATATGTAACTGAGTGATATATAGTGTTATAATGCAAAATTAAACTACCTAGAATTTATAGAATTTGAATTATTGTTAACTGTGTTACTGTGTGTTAAATGCAACATGGCCTACAGCTAGCTGTTACTTACTATGTTCATCTCTTTTACTTGCTTTTGTCTTTGCTGTCATATTGTAACCGTAGTTATTATTTATCTACTTTGCTTCAACTACGGAATTTATTTCTCAAGCACTGCTGACCCCACAGGGTGGTTCGATCTATTAGTTTGTTGGAGATGAATTCTATTCAAAGAAATTTTGAATAATTAATGCATCACGTGCAATGCCATCTTAATTTAAACAAATTAAATAAAATTAAAACCATACAGTTTATGGTATCTTTAATGGAAAAATGCAAAACACTATCAATGTTTTCAATTAACTACACCACATCAAATTTTACCATTAGCCCAAACAATTTGATCAAGCTGTTGAATGGGAACTAACAAATATGTGAAAAAAAAAAAAAAAAAATTCTTAAACAAAGCTTGAAAATCAAGAGAAAGAGTTGTCGGAGCTCAGGAAATTACAACAGCATGCTGCAGATGAGAGCAAATCAAATATGACAGAAAGGTCAGATAGGAACATCCAGTGACATGAAGAACAAGCTCAGTCCCAAAGAAAAAACAAGAAGAAACAGAACGAAAAATCACATCGACACCATGTAGACAAAAATCCCCTCCCAAACCCAAAAACTAGGCTCGGCAAAAATGAGCCAACCCATGGGGTTAACTCGTAACCCGGCTAAAATGAGTTGGGTTGGATCAGAAAAAATGAGTTAGTAACTCGAGTCAGCCCGACTCGTGTTTCAGCTCGAAAAAAAATCGAGCCAATCCACGGATCAAACAGATTGGCTCACGGGTTATGGTTTATTTTTTTTAATATAAAAGTATAGAAATTAATAAAGGTAAATTGGAAAGCTAAAACCTAAAATTCCAATTCCAAAGACCCAAACGAAAATACCCTGCAGCTGTTAACAAGTCTAAAACTGTGCATTAAGGATCTTTTTTATAGTATGTGTGAAAGTGTGAATGGGGTGCCAACTGCCAATAAGTCCAAGTCCAAATGCAAAAGAAATTTTCTATGGTTTATCTGTATAATGTCTTTGTATTGAATGAACTAATAATTTAGGAAAAAAAATTAGAAGTTACAACATCAATGGAATTTTATTTTATATTCCATTTTTTCGAGTCATCCCGCGAGCCAACCCTAACTCAACTCGGGTCGGATTGGGTTGAGTTTTCTGACTCGTTTATTTTCGAGCCAACCCTAACCCGGCTCTTTTTTTCAGGTTGAACGCGGGTTGGGTCGGGTTGAGCCGGGTTGGCCCGTTTGACCAACCCTACCAAAAACCATATATAAAGTGGCTCATCCATTCACCTCACAAATCATGGACCTACCTGTGCCCAAAGATATAAAAATCTCAATCGATCAATTCAAGGGAAAAGGTGATCCACAAGAGCACCTAGAACGATTTCAAACCATTATGATAGCAAAAGATATCCCAAATGTCGTTAGTTGTTGTTTATTTCCCACCACCTTGAAAAAAGTAGCTCTAAGGTGGAACTTAGCCTTGCCACCAAATTCCATCCATAAGTGGGAAGACCTCTCTAACTAGTTTTTGGTTCATTTCGCTACCAGCAAGGTTCAATTCAAGTCCACTCATGCCTTGAAAGTAGTTAAACAAGAATCCCGTGAATCCCTACAAGATTACTTGAACAGATTCTTTGATGAATCTATATTGGTAAAAGACCTAGACCCAGAGGTCTCGCTGCATCTCATCACTAATGGTCTTCAAGATGGACCATTTTCCACTTCTTTGGCAAAGCAAAAGCCAAAGCCTGTAGAAGAATTAAGAGCGAGATAAAAAAAAGTACATCAATTTGGAGGACTATATATAAACGATCTCGCATTGATCAAGGCCAAAAGCTGAAGACAAATGATCACACAAAAGATTTCAGAAGAACCTTCGAAAGCCAAATAAAGTTTGAAGATTACACCCCATTGAACACTTCCAGATCCCGCATGTTTATACATCCCACACACGTTTGCATCTCGCTACTCATGCTATCGACATAAATAACGAGCTGGGAGACTACTGATCTAGACTCATCCCACTCGAGAGTACAGGCCCAACCAGTGAAAGGTATGTAAGACCCGAAGAATATTACTTAATGAGAAAGGAAATATGGTCATCTTGTGTAACTTGTCAATCCCGCAACTTCCTGGCACACATTACCAGCTGCTCAGTCACTTGTGCTCGCACGACATCAGTTGCTCAGAGCACCAACCAACCAGACATCTTGCAGCAATATACCAGCCAAGGCCCATACTCAAACATTACAGGCTCAACCATGTGTGATTTAGCCCAAAAATTATTGGACCGATCAATAAGTATCCATGCTTTCTTAATACGTTAATTATGTCTTTTTTCAATTAGTTTAATAAAAACTTAACTAATCTAATTTAAGCACAGTTACAATCATGTAGAGAGGTTGGCTCTCAATATATTTTTTTTCTATTCTCAAGCATGAACTTGAGATCTCCCTCTAATGAATGAAAAACTCCTTATCCCTTCAATTAATAATTGTTAACTCAATTACATTATTTTGGTTTGTCTTGCTTCACCGTCTAGTTTTTATCACCCTTTCACATAGCGAAGATATTGGAAAAAGAAAAAGCTAGTATAAACGAATTCAGTTGTTTCACAATAAACAATTCAGCTTTTGTATAAATTTACAAAACTAACTATAAATAGATACACATATCTATTTTGTCGGGACCAAATAACCATACACATACAGTCGCAGAATACAGAATACAAAATAGAGAAGGAATGAAGAACGAAACCACGAATTTACCTGATTTACTCAATGCGGACTACGTCCATCAATGTTTTATTATATTATTTCCACTACACTTATTACAAAGCATTTTGTTTATATGGGAATATAAATAGGCTTAGAAATCCGGTTTCTTTTCTCTACATCTTGACAACAAGGTAGTGTTTGGTTGGGGAGAAGTGTAAATTTTGATGGCTAACTGCATGTGGGTATCTGTCATAACCACGTTTGGTTGAAGGTCTTGAGTTGATTTTCCCATCTAAGAGCGTTGGCTAGCAAACGAGGAAGATGACCAAAAATTGGAGAAGGGCACTGTTGAGAAAGCCGTTTGACCATGTGGAATTGTAGAACAAAATCGGATAAATTGGAGAAGGGCACTGTTGAGAAAGCCGTTTGACACATTATTTATTGTGGTTTGAAGGATGTAATAAACCATAGGTGTTTTTACAAGGATATTTTTGTAGTTTCATTAAATTTTCCCATCAATATTTTATCTTCAACCAAACACACATTCAGAAATTTAATTCAATTTTCCTGGTAAAATTTTGCCCCACCAAACAACTTTTTTACAACTTTCCTATCTAACTCACTTTTCCTCCAGATCCCTAGTATTTACATTTCCCTAGTATTAAAAAATTTCTCCCCAACCAAACACTACCCAAGATTAATCTGAACGAGAAGAGTCATGCCCAATATCTTTTCTCTTTTATTTTTTTCATTTTTTACTTCTTTGAGAAGTTAACAACATTTTTATAATATGTTTGAAAAAGTACATTTAATAATTTTCTTAAAAGTATGACATTATTATTCGGGTAAAAAAATCCCATCAAATGTAGCAAAATTAGAGATATGAATTCTTTTTGTGCAAGGGAGCTTCTTTTTGAAAAGAAGGGGGCTTAAAATGAAGACATTGTAGAACACATGGTGTCCATGTCATGGTGATGGTGTTATTGAGTCCAATAGGTGAAATCCTTAATTGGATTTGTTAGAAATATATAATATAAAAATCACTGAAGGTCCATCACTTATAAGATTAAGCTTTTAGGTTGAATTGATTCTTTACATGGTATTAGAGCACACGTGACTGTGTGGTCCTGAGTTCGATCCTTACCGCCTCCACTTTCTAGTGGAATTAAAGCCAAAACAAAGTAGAACAAAAAAAAATGGGTCTGTGCATTATTCACACTTCAAGCCCGTAGAGATCTTGCGTTATGAAGTGTGATAGAGAAATAATAATATAAAATCATTGAAGTCCATCACTTATAAGCTTAAACTATTAGGTGAAATGGTTGCTTAACATGACCGATGACCACAGGATTACGAGTTTAATCTTCATCGATCATCCTCACTTTCTAGTATAATTAAGACAGCATAAGCTAGAATCAAAAAATGACTCAATGCAACATCCATGCTTCAAGTGCAAAAAGTTGTTGCTTGAGAGATGTGTTTGAGAAATATAAAATTTGAAAAATCATAAATGCCCAGGTTATGGTCAGTCACTTTTGAGTTATGACCGAAAAAAGCAAATGGTGCACAGTTTGTATTTCATATCCATGACTTGGATGGGGCAGTGATCAACAAAATTTCATAAATGTTAGTGCAGTACCCAACTGCAACAATGAAAATTGAACACATGGTGAGGACCACTGGATTACAAAAGCCCTAGCAACTAAAATGTCACACTCAACAACGATCCTTCAGCCATTTGCTCGATCTGCACCCTCTGCGTGATTGGGAACTCACACGTTAACAATTTTGTTGGCTGCTAGAGGATACAAAAATAACGAGTCTAAAGTTGCAAGTTGCAATTGTGACACCTTGTCTCGGGCTCTACCTCTTGGGCTCTAGGCTCTAGCTCTTTTTAATATATATATATATATATATATATATATATATATAC